TATATAGGTGCTGATGATTGATAAGGAGAAAATAAACATTGATAAGGAGAAAATAAACATTTGTAGATACATGATTCAGAAAACATCACTGAGTTACTGAGGCTATTAATCTGTAAAACATAAAACCTTAAACCTGTTTAAAATGAGCTGTTTAATCTTTGTTACATAGCCTAAAATTCAGACTGCTGTCAGCTCTGACACCACCTTCTGTCTCAGTAGCAAATTTTCATCATAGTTGTGTTTAACTGAGCAGCTGATGTTTTGAACACATGAGATGACCTAAATCAACCAGTTGAACTTTGGCCATGTTGAGGCCAACTTCTGTGGAGAGCCGCAGTGAGTGGACTTTCATTGATCTCCAGTGTTTGCTAAAGCTGATGAGCAGTTATGTAGTACAATGAATAAGTGTGTCACACTTTCAACAGCCAACACGGCCTGTTTCAGGTAAAATTAATCTGTAATGTACAAAGTTAGCCCCAACTTAGCGTATTAAAGTACCTAAAGTATCTGAAACTACTTCTCTGCCCCAGTGGTGTCTGAACAGCCGAGCCAGTACTTGGCAATGGATCTGGGGTATGGAGGCATGGCGTAGTCAACTCTCTTGGTCCTGAGGTCCACTCTGTAGTACGCATCTGGAAAACAGAGAAGACAGTCATTAATGTTCCCTGAAGCAAAACTTCTTGTCTTTTTTAAGATATTTTTATGGGCATTTTTTCCTTTAATTGATAGGATAATGAAGTGTGAAAGGGGGAGAGTGAGAGGGAGAGACATGCAGCAAAGGGCCACAGGCCGGAGTCAAACCGAGGCAACAGCCTTGTACATGGGGCGCCTGCTTTACCACTAAGCCACCGACGCCCCATTCATGTCTTTTTCTTTGGTGAGTCGTAAACCAGGTAGCAGTACTGAATACCACCCAGAATCAAAAATATGTATTTGTCCTTTTACCTGTGCTATTTATCAGTCTAGATTGTTTTGGTGTGAGTAGCTGAGTATTGGAGATATTGGCTGTAGAGATGTCTGCCTTCTCTTGAATATAATGGAACTAGATGGCACTCGGCCTTGGGGTTCAGTATCTTGCTCAAGGATGAGGAGCTGGGGATCGAACCGCTGATCTTCCGATGACTGTACGACCCGTTACTTTCTGAGCCACAGCTGCCTCGAAAGAAGAAAGTGTGCATCTACTCATGGACAAGAGGTTTGTGCTTGTGACAGTGAGAGATTTAAACAGTAATGGGTCCTTGCTGAGCTGTTTCGTTAGCCACGACTATTGAAAGAAAGCTGGGACATACTCCTTGACCCCATGGGAGTTATGGGGTGTTACACATGTAGGAGGGTTACAGCAGGCAGCGCTAGAAATTAAGGGGTGTGTCCATTCAGGTGCTCTCTGGGAGTGCTCTTCTACGCTTGGCCTGACAGAACTTTTTGATTACACTCAAATGGATGTCAGCTGATATACAACAGAAGGTTTTTATATAGAGAGCATTTGTTCAAGGTCTTTCATTAAGAACTTTTTTAATAATCACAGAATTGTAATTCTCACCCATATCTTTTCTTTTCGTATAAGATATATACTCATCCCAATGATTTGACATGACGCCATGACTTCTCTTTAACCCCCTTGACTTTAGCCAATTCAGTGGTGCAAGGTGAGCTGGCAGTGGATGCATGCTTCTCTCTGCATGTTGGTATCATTAGTGGGTGTACTTTGGTAGTAATAAAATAGTTCCTTCATGAAGCTGCTCTCAACAAGACCTGTGGATAATCTTGAGTAATTGGGTCATGATTTCTGGAAACAGACATTGCTTTTGATTTTTTCAAATGTATTTTTTTGGCTCCTTGAGCACCACAGGCTGAGTGCCATCTAGTTCCATTACATTTGAGAGAAAGCAGACATCTCTACGGCTGATATCGCCAACACTCACTTAAGAGTGAACTGTCCCTTTAAAGATGACAGGCAGCGGAACTGTGGTGATTTTAGGCAGCTGTTTCTTTGTCATGTGGACTGGTAAACAGCATGTGAAACTAGTTATAATCAGCCTTCTGTGGCTGGACGACGCCAGGAGATGTTTGATAAAATTAGTCAAATGAATTCCTGTCTGCTCTCGACATCTGTAACTCATCTAACAAAGGTCTTCTTTCATTAGTCTGAACGAGCTCACACATGTGCCTGGGTACCTTCTCCTACTGATTTGACCACCTTACCCATTAAACCTATGAAACAATGATCATTATATAAGCATTTGTATCGTTAAAATGTTTTGACTATTATTAACCTAAACTGTACTGCTAATGAATCGGTCCCTGCAGTGTTACCTCCTTTAAAGAAGTAGACGCTCTGTATGGGCATACTCCTTTGGATGGACCCCAAGAGCCACCTTTCGTCTCTTGAATCATAGTTCCCTCTGTTGTTCTGTCGATAACCATCCCGCCGTCTGTCCTGGTCCCAGTCTTGATTCCACAATCTGTCCCAGTCTCGTCTGAGCCTCTCCTCCATCTCCATCCTCCTCTCTGCCAACCTCAGACCCATTTCCATCCCCCTTTGTGCGAAGTCCTGGCCCATGTTCATGCCCCGCTCAGCCATGGACCCCCAGAAGGGTGAACGGCTTTGCCTCCTACGACCCCACTGCTGTCCCTGGCCCTGCTGTTGACCCCACCGCTGGTCAGGCTGGTCGTCGTTGCGGCGTGGTGTGGGCCTCCAGGGAGGGACGTACATTCTGCCAGCCATGGCAGCGTCCAGTGGAGACTTGAGGCCCTTCCAGTCCTTGTCAATGAAGTGGTGTTTGTCGTGATGCTGAGGCACTGAAGAAGGTTAGAAAAATATTAAGCTGTACAAATGACAACACCCGCCTCCACCTCCCAAACACATACAGATGACCTATAACACCACAACTCACTGTTAGAGAAGAGCTCGCTGATAACACGTTCATAGTTGTTGTAGTATACGTCAGTGTAGCGCCTGAACAGTGCGGACGGCGACCTCTCAGACAGGTTGATGCACTCCTCATGGGACGGCTGGTGCAAAAACTCATACGTGTAATACTGATCCCCTGGAGAGACCAAAAAGACATAAGTAGTTTTATGTCACCCATACAGAAATATATGACATATATGCCCATATATCAAGAGTGAGTTGCCATATATGTTACCTATAGGGTGATATATTTTTTCATCACATATATACATCCTCTGAATATATGAGGATATAAGTTTCTAACATATATGAAATACCCACAGTAAAATATGTGTATGTACATATATAAAAAATATCTGATAAATTTTCATATGGTATTATATGTTGTTACAATATATTTTAGCAATATATATTTATTTATATGTGCAAGTTCATGAAAACAGCATACATACAACAACCCTATATATGCTTATGTATGTTTTCTTCTTAATTTTTGACATGCATGTCTGTGATTTATATTTATATATATAATATTATATTAATTGGCTTTGGGATGGCTGTTTGTACATAACATATATGTCTATATTATAAGCAGAAATTATATTTGTACATTATTAGAAATCTACATAATGAATTTTTATACGGTATTATATGTTGCTACTATATAAGATTAACAATGTGTTATTAATTAAATATGCTGGTTTATAAAAAGAACATATATACAAAAATTCGGTACACGTGTTTATTTAAAAATAAATTTTTGACATAAACGGCAATCTTTTATATGGAAGCGTATTGCATTCACTTGACAAATAAAAAAAAAATCTGTTTTACTGAGTAATTTTTTCTGTTGTTCGGTGTAATTTTTTCAGTTTTTCTGAGTATTTTTTTCTGAGTTAAGAGAGCAATAGAACAACAGACGCTTTCATTCCTTTCTTGAGAGCTCGATATAATGGAAGCAAACATGACCCGCTTGTTTAGTTTAATCTAGTTTTACTTTGTTTTGGGTTATGTGTCCAACTGATTCTGGAGAAACACTGCAATGTCCAGCAGATCTGAATGGGCTTTTCGTCTGAACAACCGCAAAGTCTTAAGGTGCCTGCGTAAAGTCGACAAACTAATGATAACACCATCTATATGACTTAAAGACAAGAGTATCTCCCAGTGTCTCAAACCCAAAACAAAGTAAAACTGGATTAAACTAAACAAGCGGGTCATGTTTGCTTCCATTATATTGAGCTCTCAAGAAAGGAATGAAAGCGTCTGTTGTTCTATTGCTCTCTTAACTCAGAAAAAAAATACTCAGAAAAACTGAAAAAATTACCACGAAAAACAAAACAAAACAAAACAAAAAATTACCACAAAAAACAGGAAAAAAATTACACTGAAAAACAGAAAAATAAAAAAATTACTCAGAAAAACAGATTTTTTTAAATTTGTCAAGTGAATGCAATACGCTTCCTTACTTTAATACTTACATAGGTAATATTAATATTATTTTGATGGGTTTTGGGATGATATATATGTACATAACATATACGTCTATAATATGAGCATAAATTATATCTGTACGTTATTATAAATCTACATGATGAATTTTTGTACTGTATTATATGTTGCTACCATATAAGGTTAACATTATGTTATTAATTATATATATGCAGGTTTATGGAAAGAACATACTGTATATACAAAATGCTGTAGCGTATATATGTTTTTTAAATTAATTTTTGACCCAAAAGGAAAGCTTTTATATTTACATATGTAATATTAACATTATATTGATGGGTTTTGGGATGGATTTATATGTGTATAAGTTATACGTCTATTACACAAGTATATATTATATCTGTACATATATCAGGAAGCTATTTGATTTTTTTTTTTATATGGTATTATATATTGCAACCATATACGTTAACAATATATATTCAATTTCAGCAGGTAAGAGCACCAGCTTTCCCGCTGTAGATTGGGGTTCAAGTCCTGGTTGGGACAAGTCTTCAGTGAGAGTAGTAAGTAAGTAAGTGTGTAAATATAAAGCAATAAATAAGATAAAGTAGAAATGAAATGTGCATTACAATAAAAATAAAATGTACATTATTTTACCGTATTTACACTAGTACTTAAGATATAAATATTAGAATATTAAAATAAAATATATATCATCACTGTGCTGAGGGTGTAAGTGTGAAAAATTTAACACAATTACATGTACATACATTTAATTTCCATATGGGTAGCTACATGTTAAGTATCTCCAGGGCAAATATTCTGTCGAAACATATGGATGTGTTGTGTAATGTCCGACTGTACCTTTGAAAAAGTAGACCTTCTCTCTTCCATTATGACCCGGAGCAGGCAGAGCAAACGCAGCATCCACATGAGTAGGAATTTTGTCAAAGCCCACGCTGATATCTCGAGGATAGTCGTCATCCAGCACACCGTCATCAAACCTCCAGTACTTGCCTCCCTAATGAGCTTTTGTATTGTTAACACAGCAGAGGGCTGATGTACATGATTTATTAATACAAGATCATTCCCTGTGTCCCCACCTTGAAGATATATGTCTTCCCTTGACAGTTGAGGCGAGTGAAGGCAGCATCAATAGGCCCGGTGATGCCCCACACGTCCTTTATGAGCTTTGGATAACCAGGAAGCACCGACTTCTGGTCCAGTTCAAAAAAGTACTCGCCTAGAAAAACACATGAGTTCAGAAGCAAGTTTTGCTCTGTATCAAATACAGTTGAGTATTAGGGGATGACTCACCTCTGAAGGCGTATATGGAGCCATTTTTTAGTTGCATGAAGGAGTCAAAAGGCCTCCCGCTGCAGGCCACAGCGTCTGGGTCAGGGGCTGCAGTGGTGGCTGTCGTAACAGGAACAGTGGTCGTCTCAGCTGTTGTGTGAGTCTGAGGGGGTTCAGCTGTGCTAAGGAGATCCTGCGCAGGTGAGACTGTCTGTGAAATGAGTGTATTCTGAGGTATGGTATCCATCACTCGAGGGGGTTTGGTCATTTCCAGTGTGGTCTCTGAATGTCGATGTGGTCTGCGAGCGAAGTCTGAGGCAGGCTTCCGTGTGGGCCTCAGCTGACGACTGGCAACAGTGGCAGTTGTCGGAGTGATACCTTCAAACAGCTCGTCATTATCATCCTCTGCAAACACAAATGTGTCTCCGCGAGCTGGGGGAGAAAAGTGACATCTATGACAAATTTCCCTGCACCATTTTTACTGTGTCACAACGTTACTGTGTCTTGTGAGCAGAGAGGTTTCTTACTCGTCATACCACAGATGACCTCATAGTCAGAGCAGCAGCTCTTGTAGTACTTGCACATGGAGTCACACTGGCACTTCTTCTGAGAGTCAAAGCCATTCTCACAGCGGTCCATACAGGACTCTGAAGAGAAAAGGACAATATGTAAATTGTTTCTATAGTTTTTATTTGTGTATTCTCTACACCTCTGACCAAATGAATGTCCTCCTTTAAAAAAAAACAAAGTTACATTTAGGCTTTGTTTTGATTACAGGTCCCATTAGGCTTTGATTAAGACTCATATGTTGGTTTTTTTTCATCATTAATAGTAATGGTTATTTTCTGATCAGTTTAGCTAACCCTGTATATTAAATGGCTGCTTATTGTGTCCTGTTTGTATTCATTATTGCAAATAGTGTTGAAACAAATAGTTAATTGATTAATTGATCAACACATAGCAACAATTCTGATACTGGCTTAGTTGTTGTAGTCATTTATTAACCAAGAATGCAGTAAATACCATAACTTGTTAAATCTGAATACATTGCTTCATATTTTGGTTATTTGTGAATATTTGCTGGCATTTTATAGACTTAATAATTACCTAGGTAACTGTAAAAATAATCATCAGATTAATAGAAAACTAATATAAATATTGCAGTCCTAACTGTACTATATACTATATAATTAATATATATATTCAATTAATAGCCGGGCTATTATTTGCGTAAACCACGGAAATCATCAGGCTTATATTTGGGACAGGCCTTTAATTCCTTTCACACAAAATGGTTGCTCAGCAATGATCGGGAAATACAGTCAAATTGTTTAATGAAATCAGTGTGAATATTACTTTTATAAAAATTAGGCTTCAGATATTCTATCAATTATCATTCATTTGATCAAGCTTCTACAAACGGTGCATCAGAGGACTCGATGGATTCTCTCAATGATTATGGAACCTGGCTTACCGACACCACACCACTTTATCATGTCAAAAGAATACTCACAACTTAGATTAATTTTTAATATGAATAACTTATAGGTTAATCGAGGAATGGGCACATATTTTGAGGTAGCTAACAATCTGGTTTTATACATCTGAAGACCTTCTTTAGATAAAACAAAAAATCAAAAGCCGAACTGCCTGGCAACCAGACCAGGCTTCTAATTGAGACAGACCTTTATTTGTCACAATGTGTAGCCACAGAGGGCGAGTAAAAGGGACTGGGTGTTTAATTGGGACTAGGCTTTTAATTGAATTTTTTTCGGTATGTCTACAGGTGTAGACAGAGCACCCAAACTTCATACCCCGATTGGTTAAAGGTCCATTGTATAGAATTTAGTGGCATCAAGCAGTGAGGTTACAGAACTGAAACTTCTCCCGTATGCCAAGCATTACAAGAACTATGGTGGCTGACACAAAAACGTTCACAAAACAAAAGAATTGACGTGCTCGACTCACCGTCTGAAAAATCACAGGGTGCCGACCCAAAACTCACAAACTGAATAAATCCAAATGTCAGCACTCACAAATATCATATATATCAGTCTTTTAATAACGCACAGCAGTATCACAAACGGACTCGTTTCAGTACTTGGCTTTCCTCAGCGTTGACACAAAAACGTTAAAATGTGATAACAGAAAAACACGAATGGCCCTATTTTATGTTTAATTTGTCTGTTCTGGGCTGCTGTAGAACAACATGGTGGACTCTGTGAGAGGAGACTGGTTCTTTATGTGGATATAAAACAGCTCATTCATGAAAACATGATTCTTATTCGCAGATGAATATAAACCAATGAAAATATACTGTAGTGATGAATATGATATACCATTTTTATAAATGGAGGCAATGCAAAGGACCTTTAAATAAATAGAAAAAATGTCATTAATGATGATGTTAAATGTCAGTTTCTATATCCAATATAGCTGCTAATAGCAATACCAAACACAGTTAGGACACAGAGTGGCTCCATTATCAAGTCTGACTGCAACATAATACTGAAGGATGTACATCAACCAGCAACACTCCTCTATATTCTAACTACAACTAAAATTTGAAAGTGATTTTTGATGTTACTCACCCTCTGCAGCAAAAGTCTGAGCGAGCAGAGCGAGCAGCAGGATGGCCCACAGCCTCATGTTGCCTCTGTGGTGTGAGAGGACAGAATGAGAAAGTAATGACGGACCGCGTGCTCACAATCATTGGAAACATGTGTCAGTCACCCTGCTTCCTTGTTTACTTTAACCTTATTTGCAGACTTCTTTCTACTGGAGCAAATAAACAGAGACACACAGCCAGAAAAAAGGTCAAACAAAAGCTTAGGCAATGTTACCATCTGCTGACCTCTGACTGTGTTACTGTTGCATTTTGTACTTAAATCTAAAGTTCATGAAGTGATCACAGAGATGTGGATTTCTCTGTCTGCAGTGTCAGTAATGTTACTCAATCAACAATATCACCCTACATCACCCTGTGTTATTTCATTACCAGCCTTCAGGACAAGACTGGACATGAGTTTGGCTTGTAATCTGGTGTCACTGTGAGGCCTCAGCATGCTGTGTCGTCTCATAAAACAGTGGTTACAAGCTGGTAAAGAAAATTGACAACCGCATTAAAGCGCAACAAATGGACGGCAGACATCTTTGTCTTTGTGTGTATGTGTGCACTTTTGTGTGTAATGTTTAAGCAGCAGGTTTTCTTTCCATCTTCACAAGCACACAGAACGGTCATGTGATGAGTCTGTGGGCAGTTCACAAAAATCACAATCACAAGTTTGCTGTCAAAGCCAAAATCCGTTGTTTCCGTTATTTCATTACAACTAATACAATAAACAAATTAAAATCTGGATCCAATTAAAATTTCCATTTCCCCTTGAACACCAACACAAAAGGATATTTTATATTTCACATGAACATATGATTGATGTTTGCATAGCTGTCTTGATGCAGATGAATAGCATTTTTAAATCTTATTTTGGGTACTTATCTGTATCTTATGAGTGTATTCTCTCCTGATATTCCCATGAATATATTAAACTGTCAGCCAAGTCTAAAATACTGTAATGTGTAGTCTAGTGAACTCCTTATGATGTGTATTTAATTCCCCTTAATAAAATAATGATACAGGCTAATATTATTTATACATTTAAAGACACAAGTACAGCCCATTGACCCATGTAGATAAACCACGGATGCTTCATGGTCTGAAAGGGGTTTTATGTTCTAGACATACTATATGTTGCAATTTTTAGTCTTTAACAGGAAAGAAACAGCCCTGAAGCCACTTGCATTAGGTTGACGCTCCACCACATTCATCAGCATTGGCTGTATGGGTGACATTTTGACAAGAGGAAAGCCCTTCAAGCTTCCCTTATCTGTAAGAAGAGCTGTTTCTTTCAGAGAGCATTGACCAAATGTTATGGATGTTTTCTGTGCTGCTGCTCCTTTTTCCTCCATTGTAGATCTGCCCAGGTGTGCTGCATTAGTTAACGAGGTGCATGGAGGAGGTGCTTAAGAGCTCCTGTGCCAGCAGCAGAGGAGAGAGGCCTTTGGTGTGGGGACTGCTGGTCCTGCTGCTGCTCACCGTGGTATTTTTGTTGTCTTGTTTGCTTGTTTCCATTCTAATAAATCCCATGGATTTGAGTGTTTTAAAGGCGTTCATGTGGGTCAGTGTTGGAGTTTTGTTCGCCCCATAGGGCTGCCTAAGGGTGGGGTGTAACACCGAAGTTAAAAAACAATCAGTGACACACCTAGTTTCATCTTTGCCCTCTGCAGTGATGGCTGTAAAATATTCTCTTATCAGAACTGTCAAAGGTTTTCTGGTTACCAGGAGCAAGGATGAACACTATGGCTTTATGGTCAGGCACAATAAGACACAGAAGAATCCACATCAGTTGTGATTTATTGCAGTAGTACATCGAGGAAGTATGGCACCAATAAACACTGCTGGTTTTTATCTAAACAGAAAATGTGCCATGTATTAATTACCATTCACTGAATCTAATACAAAGGGAACAAATATGTGGCTACCTGCTAACAAGAGTTAACACAATGTAAAATAATTCTAACTTTACATATCTTAAACATTGAGGTACTTCAAACAGAAAACTTAACATTTTTACTCTGTCAATTAATTAACAGTTGAGCCCAAGGCTCTCCTGCACACACCTGAACTCAATCTCTCTCAATCAAGCCAGGCTCCTCCTCCGTCCTGCTCCTCAGACTGAGAGGCCGTTTACACGTACACGGTGATTTTGATAAACGGAGACATCTTCCTTCGTTTGTGCCCTTCGTTTACACGCAAACGGAGATTTCTCCTCTGAAAACGAGTCTTTCTAAAAACTCCAGCCAGAGTGGAGATTTTGGAAAACTCCGGTTGCGCGTTTGCATGTAAACTGAGATAAACGCAGATAAACAGAGTTATAGGCAGCCCACGTCACAGTATGCGCCGGAACTTGCGCCTGTGTAAAAAGTGCGACCTATGTTGCTATGGTGACAATGGATACATGGAAGGCTTGAGCTTCTCGTTACACTGCCACCTACAGGTTTGGCATGCTCTTGTGTATATATACACGGGTAAGTGTAAACGATGATCTTTTTGAAAACGGAGACGGTGAAATGTCCGTTTATGAAAATAGCCGGCCACGTGTAAACGGCCTCTCAGACATAATCTTCACAACAGTGGTGATTTGCTCCATCAGCTTTCCTCAAAACTTGTTGTAGACAGAATAGCGGACCTCCAGCTGAGGTGTTATGTGGATGTCGAGGAAGGGAGGAGCAGACTGGAGGGTTGGCAGCCATTTTCCATGCAGTCATGTAAAGCAGCAGAGATTAGTTCTAGCTGTAGCTGTTTAATTCAGAGCCAGTCAAATAAATGTTTTTTTGCTTATTTGCAATGTCTCATATCAGGTAAAACACAGCTTAAGACATTCAACAGTGACATCTTTAAAACATTTTAAATGTTAATTATTATTATTTTTTAAATTCTATAAATAATTTCCCCTCTTTTGGCTCTCTGGGGAAGTTTTTACTTGTGGTTTTTACAAATGTGTTGTCTGACAGATTAGACAATTATGAGAACAAAGCACATTAATAATGCAGAGACATTAAAATATTTGGCTACTGAGGACACTTATTTCTCAGAGAAATAGTAGCTTGTTACATTCATTATTTACTACCTGAGGCTTGTCCAGCAAAGGAAGCATTCTGTGCAGAGAAAAATAGAGGTGGTTATATGTGTTCAGGTGATATCATATCAGCATATTACTTTCCTTTTAGCTTTTATCAATTGCTAACAAGTGTGTACATTTAAGATACTTTTTTAAAACTCTTAACACAGCAACACACGTACATCACACATTTGGCTACATGGTTAACGCTACTCAGTAGCACATCTTGTTTATTAAATACCAATACTACATTTTAAAATGAAAAAAAAAAATCTCTACATACACTAACTCTATCAAATCACAGAAAACCTGACACAGTATCAAATAATTCTTTTAAATACTGGCACATGTTTTCTGTCCAAGAGTAACATATAGTCACTCACAACACAAACAAGCAAACAAAGAACAGAATTACTGCTTTGAACACTGTTTAGCGCAGACAGATGATCAGGAACCTCCATCACCTCAACATCCCCCCACTTCTCGTCCACTAGGTGAACAGCTTTCTCACCGACAGATATAACAACAACATCATCCTCACCCTTCATCACCAACACCAGAGCCCGGCAAGGTTGTGTTCAGAGCCCCTTCCTGTTCACCCCCTACACCAATGACTATATCACCCACCCATGATCAGTGACCTATAGCTCAATGTAACAAAGACAGAAGAACAAATGATTAACACTTCCAGCACACACAGCACAGCCCACAACTCCACCCAGAACCCCACCTGCATTAATATTGAAACTGTTATGATGGCAGAGTGTTTCTAATATTTCAGACTCACCCTGGCCAACACACTACCGACATCCACACATGCTGCCACAAAAGACTTTCTGTTTGCCATGTGCAAACTCAAGGCACCTTCTGTTGCTGCTCTCCACGCATCATTCAACCCATTCTCCTCTGTTGTCCCCCCCGTTTTCTTCACCATGTTAAAGGGTAACTTTGGTATTTTTAGAGATGGACTAAATTTTCCCATGGTTTTGTGTCTCAGTGTCAAAAGGAAACAAACATTTTTGAAATTGGTCCATGACTGAGGAAAACTGCTGCAGCCAGCAGCAGTGAAACCGACTGCAGTGAAATTTCTGTGGGAAATTGAGCCTTGTCAATTTTTGGCCACTAAAAGTGCTTGGTTTTGACTGACAAGCTCAGATTTTTTTTTTCCAGTCAGTCTCTGTGTGTTTGCTGGGCGTGGCCTCCTGGTTCCCTCCTCCTACCAATCCTCCTGAGTGCCAGCACCTGCTGAACCTGCACACCTGAGTCTCACCAACAATCAGTCTGCTGCAGTATAAAACCCTGGCTCAGGCTGCCACACTCTCTCAGATCATTTAGGCCTAGTCCACACGGACCTGTGTACTTCTGAAACCGAAGTTTTTCGGGCTCCAGTTTCCCAAAAAAAATTCATCCACACGAGTGGTATGATAAAAAAAATATGATATCCACACGAAACCACAAAACACGCTACCAAGTGATGTAATACACATGCCAAAGCAGTAGGTGGCGATGTAACTTCTAACGGAAAGGCTATTTTATCCTATCAGAAGTCAGTCAATACCGGAATAGGGAAGTGCGGAAAATAAACACAACCCGATCCACAAAAATAGCGCGACCTAATTCAACAGCAGAGGTGCCTGAATGACCAACTACACAACCACGAAAGCAGCGATGGGCCTGCCAACGGAGGTCCGACCCGGCTGGATCCAGAACCTCCGTTGGCAGGCCCGTCACTGCTTTCATGGAAGTGAAGTTGGGGTAGCTAGAAACAGGAGCAGCCTCCTTCGTTGGTCGTTAGGTCGAGCAGCTGGATATGCCATCCAAAGAGAGCAGATAGCACACTCACAAATAATGTTAGCACCAGCATGTTTGTTTGGCCGCCATTTCACTAGCTATTTACCATCGCTCTGATGTCAAACAATGGAGACAGGTAACAAAGTACTGCGGTTATCCTATCTACACGCAACTGCTGGCACCGGAGTCTTCCAAAAACTTCACCCTGGACTCGGTTTCAATGCAACGCGGTTTCGGGGGCCCAAAAGTGCGGTTGCGTGTGGCCAAACAGCCAAATCGCATAGAATAATACACGGTTTCAGAAGTACATGGGTCCATGTGGACTAGGCCTCAGTCTCCTCTGCAGTACAGACATCAAGGCTAACTTCCAGTTTTTTTTTTTTTTTTTTGACACTTTGTCTTTTTGTATTTTTTGGGCATCATTTCACATTTTGTCCACTTTGTGTCTCAGGTTCACCACACTAGCCTCAACCATAACCCGCTATGTCCAGCCTCATTCTCGTCTTTTGCCTCCTGATTTTGACTGCTCTGCCTTCAATTAGTCTGCCTGCTGTGCTTCGCCAGTCCCTGGGTTCATCGCACTACTGAATCTCGCCTCCATGTTTCCCTCCCATGCGTCTCTTCCTCGCGTCTTAGCTCCGCCCTCGTTGGACGGAGAGGGAGAGATGCGAGGTCAGTTTGTGATGTTATCTGTCTTTACTCTGCATGAAACTCCAGTGATGTTGTGATGTATCAGATTGGACTGATCAGCTGTCCAATCAAGAACTGATATCCAATTAGGGGTGTGTGTCGGTCAGTAAAAGACTTCTGGGAAGGCTACACTTGTGTCACTTCCCTCCCCACTGAAAGCCTCCCCTCGACTCCTCGACTCCTCGACTCCTCCAATTGCATTTAACGTATTGAGATGTCCTACAAGATGGTGAGTCTAAATCAATTTCTGGGTCAAGTGATCGAGTATAGAGGACGGAGGAGCCGAGGAGGGATATCAGGATGAACTCCCTGCCCGCCTCAGCCATCATTTCATTTAAGCCTTCAGCACCACTTCTATGAACTACAGTAAACTGCCTCTAACCATTCAGTTTCCTGGTTTGCATTTGGGTCCTAAGTTGACTTGCCACAACACTGGTGGGATAAGCAAGCAGCAGTCCCTTCGCCGTTGCAGTCTGCAGTGGTCTTGCTCAATAGTGGACCAATTTCAAAAAGTGTTGTCCTAATTAGTCACTTAGACACAAAAAAGGGAAAATATTGTTCAGGCTGGAAAATACCAAAGTTACCCTTTAACTCCCTCCAGCAGAAACTCATGCAAATCACACACAATGCGCACAAAAAGATTGACCTCCCCACCCCTAACGTCTCACACCTTAATAGCAAAGCCATCACATGCAGAGCACACACCAAAATACACGACCCCATGATTCCCCCTCAACCCATTCTTCACGCAGATAACTGTCATGTGTGTAGGTGCTATGTGTGTATTTGTATTAATGTAGATGTATCTGATGTCTTTCATGTAGTTATGGTGTGTGTATTCCTGTTTATGTGAGGCTCTGTGCAAACTGTGCTCAGACAAATTTCCTTGGAAAAGGACAGTAAAGAATATATCTGCTTTCAGAGGAATATGAATTGGACTGAGAGGTGGGTCACCGTTGCTCTTACACCATGCCCTCTTTAGTTTTTGAGTTCCTGTAGATCATCATCAGTAGGTATCCCAGCACAATAAGGAGGATGGCGATGAAGAGGAAGAGAATCCCCCTCCAGGGCTCTATGGGCAGAGCCTTCATCAGTCCAAGTCTCTGTTCTGGTACCATATTGCTCAGATTCAGCATGTACCCTAAAGCCCAGCCTACAGATGCTCCTCCTGCCTGAAAACACACAAGAGAGGAGCCAGTGAAACCAGACACACCACAGCCAAGCCTACTGATGTCAGTGCAGCAGACAGTTCTGTTGGTAAGTGTCAGTGGTTTGAACATATACTGGTTTCATTACTTCCTTTACTCCTCACCTTTATCTGAAAAGAGATGGAAGAAAAGGAGCGCTCATTGAAACCGTAGCCCTGCAGTAAGAGGACGCGGATGTAATTGGACATGGCGCAGGAATGCTTTATGAATTTCTCCTTCAGGTTTGGATTTTCAGTCAACTATGGGTGGAAACACAGTGGGTTAATACATATACATATATAT